TAAAGTATTTACCATTGAACTCTACTGATAAAGTAATATGTGGGTCACCCTATAATTTCACAATAGATTCAAGATCATTTTATTCCCATTTTGTATATGTCTTTGATCTCTAAGCAATATAGATATTTTGGAGGTTCTTCAATGGGTCATAGGTTTAAATATCAAATGTAAAACTAAATCTTTTGGAAGAAAATAGAAGAAAATCTTCAAGATCTTGGTGAAGATCTTAGACATGGTGCTATAAGTGTAATACACAAAAGAAAAAAATTGACAAATTAAAATTCATTAAAAACTTTTGCTCTGTAAAAAACCCTCATGAGAAAGCAAAAGGACAAGCTACAGAATGGGAGAAAGTATTTGCAAACTACATATTTGATACAGGACTCATCTAAAATTTATTAAGAATTCTCAAAAACACAACAGTAAAATAAGCAATCTAATTTAAAAAAAGAGGAGAGACAGTTTATTGAAGAAGATTTAGTGAAGTCAGGTAAGCTCATGACTCAAATTTACTAGCTGTTAGGGGAATGTAAATTAAGACTATGATGAGATATCACCACACATCCACCAAAACTACTGGATTTTAAAAATAATGGCAATGCCAAATACTGGCAAGGATGCAAAGAAACTGTGCATCTCAGACACTGCTGGTGTGGCCATAAAATGGTATGGTCACTCTGAATAATAGTTTGGCAATTCCTTTGAAAATCAAACATATACCTAATTACACATCCTAACAATCACATGCCTGGGTATTTCTCACTGTAAAGTGAATACCTGTGTCCACACAAAAACCTATACATAATCATAGGTAGCAGTTTTATTTGTAAAACCTGAAATAACCAAAATATCCTACAACAAGTATGATTAAACAAACTGTGTTATATTCATACCAGGGAATACTACTCACACAGAAGTGAACTCCAATAACACACACACACACACACACACACACACACACACACACAATTTAGGATGGGATTCTGACATTATGCAATTGAAAGAAGGCTGCTTCATTGGTCCCACACTGTGTGATTCTATTTGCACAACATTCTTGAAATGACAGAATAACAGAAATGGAAGGCAGAGTGGTAGTACCAGGAGGTAGTGAGGGTGGTGAGGAGTGGATGTGATCATAAAGTAGTAACATGAGGAAAGTGTTACAGTTTGTTACCATGCTGGCTTATGATGGTTGTGTTCAGATGACATAGAATTATACACACTCTTTATACCGATATCAGATTTCTCATTTTGATGTTGTAATGTAGTTATATAACATACAACCATTGGATGAAGGACACACCAAACTTCTCTGTACTACTTTTATGACTTCCTGGGAATTTATAATTATTCAATAAAAGTTTAAAAAGGAAAAAGTATGCAATCCCTGAAAATCATTCTTTTGAAAAACATATTCTCTAAAATTTTTCAAAGTTATAATGATACCAAATTTCTCAAATTAATAGCTTCTCTCTCCCCAACAGTTGACTAAACCAAATTATTTATATATAGGTAAATTACTGCTTATTTAATACTTCTCTTAATTGATAATGAAGTAAACCATGCTGTGTATTTTTTATTTATCATGTCTCACATGGTAATTTAAACTGCAAATGGGTATCAAAGATCAATGACACCCAAATCATAGTTTAATCAAAAAAACTTATTTAAACATTAATTGCAACCTCATGATTGACCTTAAGAGCCGGTACTTTTACCTGAACTGCCAACATGGAAACAAAATGTGACTAATTTTCTACCTTCCTCTATTTAAAAAAGGTACTAGTGGATACAAATATGCCTCAGTTTGCTATCTTCACAGCTCCCTGAACACATACTTTGGAAACTCAATGCCTAAATAATTGGGCCATTGGTTATTTCTGGAACATAAATTAAGCACTCCAATTAATCTTATTTAGGCCTGAAAATTACAATACAAAGGAGGTTTACAGATAACTTTTTCATTATCTTACTTCAAATTATCTCCTTTGATAAATCTTTTTCTTGAAAAGATTCATTTTTTGAACTCTAGGCTCTGTAGTTTTCTAATTACTAATAGCTACACACCCAAATATGTTTTATTCTGCCTTGATAATTTAATAACAAAGTAAAGATGCCTGTAGAAATATCATAAAGAGTTTGTTGGAATTTTCCATGGTATTCTATCTTTTAAGTGAGTAGGGCAAAGTCTGGGAGAGAAAAGATCTTCTTGTCAATACCCACAAATCGAGGTTCACAATTTTTATCTGTACTTTTAATTTGCAGTTTCTTTGGATTTCAGAAGTGCAGATAAGGGTCATTGGTGGCAAGACTAGGCCTGGGGGAACCTGGGGCTTTTCTCTAATCACTGTGTAACCCATGAGTGTTAATATTGTCACCTTCATTGTACAAAGGTAAATATGCAGGATATGCCTACTGCCTTTGGAAGTATTGTACAATATTCAGTGTTTTTATTCCCTTTCCAAAATTTGAACATTCCTGAAAGGTGAGACACATCAGTTGAGGTTAAGAGATTATGAGACTGGCCTAGAAAAGTATGGATATTCAGAGAGCACTGAAAATAAGAATATACTGATCTGGTGAATAAGTCCATGAGCACAAGACTTATGATAAGAAATTTGACAGAGTCAGGCACTGGTGGCTCACACCTATAATCCTGACAAATTAGGAGGCTGAAATCAGGAGTATCACAGTTTGAGGCCAGCCCAGGAAAAGACACCATCTCATCTCAACCAATAGCTGGTTACTGTGGCACCTGCCTGTCATCCCAAGCTACAGGGGAGACTAAGATCAGGAAGATTACTATTCCAAGCCAGCTGGGACATAAAAGCTTTTGAGAGCCCATCTCAATGGAAAAAAGCCGGGTGTGGTAGCATGCACCTGTCATTCCAGCAATGACAGGAATCCTGGGCAAAACGTAAGACCCTATCTCTAAAATAAGCAGAGCTAAAAAGGCTAGAGGTGTGACTCAAGCTGTAGAGCACCTTCCTTGCAAGCCTTGAGTTCAAACCCGGTACCATCCAAAAAGGAAAAAAACTATGTGGCAGAAAAGTCAGATAAGGACCAATTTGGTTTCACTTTATAAATAAGGAACTGAGGTACAAAGAGACTGGTGCAGGGTTCACCAGCTGCAGTTGGAAGGTGGATCGTTTGGCTTCTGAAACCATGCTTTTAAATCTGAAAGACACTGGGTCCCTGAGGTGAAAGCAAGAGGATTTTGTGAAAAGTTACATCCTTTCCATCAAGAAAGTCCATAGTTCAGGATCCTAGCAGTGAGGTTAGTATCTTTTTGTGAAGAAAAATGAAACACCCCAAGGAAAAGATATATGAAAACTGAGCTCAGGTGGACTTCCTCTGAGGTACTCTCCTGTGAAATTCTCGCCTTGCACACTGAACTATTTAAAGCCTCTTTTTTATGTGTGACTGTGTAGCTTATAAAGAAAAGAGGTTGTTATCTCACAGTTTTAATCTAAAAGTCCAACTAGTGTGGCACCACCTCGGCCAAGAGCCCACCTGACGATGTTACATCTTGTCGGATGACAGAACAGGTGTGAGAGAGAGGAATCACAGGGCAAGACAGGAATCCACAGAGCAACCAGATTCCTTGAGAACTATGTCAATCTCTTCCAGGGGTGCCCCATCAATGACCTAACTTACACCTCTAAAGGTTCCACCAGCTCTTCATGTTGCCATGCTTGTGACCAAGCTCGTGGACACAGGAGCCGTATGGAAGCCATGGCAGAGGGGATTCAAGGATCACTAGACATTTCAGGAACACATCAAACATGAAAGAGATCAAAATAATCGATTAAAAAGGAATCTGGACAGGACAAAAGAAATACACTTTAACATTCAGAGAATGTTTTAAAGAATATATCATTAGTACCTTCAGAGGTTAAGAAACTGCATCCATGAAAGCATACAAGAAACTATTTAAAACATTAAGAGAGTACAGTAGAGAACAAGGTAAAGCAATTGAAAATTAAAAATAGAATGACTGAAATTCACAAGCTCAGTAAAACGTTGGAAGATTAAGTCGATGAAATTTCAAAAACTGTGAAGAACATGAGTTTCCAGAAATAAAGTATCCTAAGGTCTGACAAAATATCTTTTAATCTGAGCACATTATGAAATTTCATAATACCAGTGGTAAAGGAAATGCTAAGGACTTCTAGAAAGAGCTTTTGAAACTGTGTCACCATGTACTGTGTTCCTCTTTCTGTAAACCTAATCTGAAATAAACTTTGGATCTTTGATTGTTTCTTCCTTTTCAAAATAGTGGACAAATGTAGATGCCTATAAATCATACTATCCACAAATAATAATAATCTTGACCCTTTCATACATTTTTTTCTATTTATGGTTTTATTGTATGAGCTAAAACTTTCTGAAGATAACTGTTAACATAAGTAGAATTGGTGGTTTAGCTTATGTTGTTCCCAAATTTAATGAGAATGCTTATTTGCTGTAATAGTCCTATGCATAAAAAATGATGTTTGTCTTGGATTTCTTTGTTGTATAAAGAAAAACATTCTTATTCTATGAAGAGTTTTAATCAAGAATAAATGTTAAACTGTATTTAATATTTTGTCATTTATCAAGTTGTTTTCATTTAAAAACATGCACTCCATGCTCAATGGATGAATCTTTACTGTTTAAGTGCATAGAAAAAATGGTTTTTAATTATTCTTTTAGTGATTGCAAGTGAAGAATTGTGCTTTTTATGAATACATGAATTTTTAAAATGAGAATTTGAATGATGGATTGATCAACGGTGTCAGGATTCCCTGAAGATTTATAACTTTTTCTTACCTGTTGAAATATAAGAGAACATTTGTTTGGCTGACTCAAGAGATTCTCTTTTTAAAAAAAAATCATCTTTAAGAACATTTGTAAAGAAACATTTGTCATACAGTCATGGAGCTGTATTTGAAAGATTGAAGACTCCTTACAGTCCTTTTTTAATTACTTAGTTTTTTGTTTGTTTCTTTTCCTTTTAGAGGCACTGCAATTGCTGGCATCGTGTTTGGGATTGTGTTCATCATGGGGGTCATTGCAGGAATTGCCATCTGTATCTGCATGTGCATGAAGAACAACCGGGGGACCCGAGTAGGCGTCATCAGAACCACCCACATCAACGCCATCTCTTCCTATCCTGGTGAGTAACACTGCCTACTCCTGAAAGAAGACTAAGGGCTGTTAGTCAGGCTCTGCTCCTTAGAGAGAGGAAGAAACATTAAAGACTCACTGAAATAATAATCTCCTATTTTCTACAGCATTTCTAAGTAAATGTAGACTGAAGCTGTAGCTTTAAATAGAGATTACTTTGATCCAAGCAAGAAAATCCATCACGTGTTTGAGGATAGTCATATTCTCAATGGTTATCTCACTGACTACAATTGCCAGTCAACCAGAATTAAGATAAATAGACAATTCACACCCACAGTGTTTATCACCAGTGAGTTCTGGCAAGTAATTTTAGAGAAAGCATGCCATATATCTCAATAAACTGGCATCCAAACAATGTGTTTTGAGAAAAAGTATTGAAGAAAGTTTTTAGATATCTTCTTTCAACAAAAAGAATGGATTTTCACATAATATTAAAATTCTTAACCAATAGTAAAGGTAATACCTTAATAATTTGACAAGTATATGCTGAAAATCTGTGAGAAGTACCACATATAAATACATTGAGTACCTGAGATTCCATAAACAAAATACTGCCTTTTTCATTAGAGATTTCAGCAGTGCTTTCTTTCTATGTCAATCCATGTGTGGACGATGTGACATATAAAATGTCTAGCAAGTTATAAATTTAACACACTGTTAAGTAAACAAATTCCCACCCACACTGTCCTCTTTCTCTCAGTCTCTATAGAAAATGAACAAGGCACTTTCTACATACAGTGTGCCCTCCGATGAATTCCTAATCATTCTTTCTTCTTTTAATATTTTCTCTGGTAGCTTCCACTTGAGATAATGAGCACAGGAATGATAACTTCTCCACTTCCTCTCTTGTCAGGTCTTCCTCTTCCAGTTCTCAGGGCTCAGTTTTGGGTCTTCTTCCACAAACCATCTACACTTCTTTGATTGCATCCTTTGGCCTCACAGTAACAAGAATCCTTTACATGCTAATCTGCCCAAAGTTATGTTTCTCCATTCCAGACCTCTTTTCAGATTTATTTTGTCTTGATGTCTATTGAACATCTGCACTTAGATAAATATACCAAATTTAGTATGTTTAAAACTTTAGTTCTGATTTTCTTCCCAACACACACACACACACACACACACACACACACACACCTTTACCATTTCCATTGATGGCATCTCTAGACTTCCAGTGACTTAGAACAAAATCCTTGAGTCATCTTGATTCCTTGTCTACAGCTTTACCACCCTGAACACACTCAATCTCTCAAACCTATATATGGTCAATCTGGAAAGTTTCTCATCTGTACCTTCAGAATGCATTCAGTGTCTGACTACTTCTCACTGATTTCCCGGGTGGGAGCCACACTGTCAGCTTTCACCTCCTTTACTGTTTTTACATCCTAGCTAGACTCCCAGCATCTACCTTTGGCCCCCTGGCATCTGTCCTCAACAAAGTAGCCAGAACAAACTTTAAAAATACATATCAGATCATGTCATTCCCATATTCAAAATCTTCTGCTGTTTCTCTATTTCCTCTAGAGGAAGACCCAAAGCCAGTGATTACTCATTTTACCCAAAGTAAAAGGCAACTTCCTTACTGGTAGTTTTAGGGAACTGAATGAATTGGCTCCTTTTCAAAAATTTATTGGGCCTCAATTTCTTTTCTTCTTCCCTTTGCCACTGTGGGGTCATCACATTTTGTCCCATACTATTTTGAGAACACTCAGGACACGCTCCTAACTCAGGGCTTTGCTTAAAACAGACTTTCTCACTTCCTTCAAGTCCTCAATCAAAGGTTACCTTCTGAATTAAACCTGCTCTAGTCCCCATTTTAAAGTTGAAATGTGCCCAGCACCCTAGGCTGCCCTATCTTTATCCATGGTGCTTTTAATCTTGTAAGAGACCATATAGTTACCTAATGATGATGTCTGTTGTTGACTATCCATTTCCTACTAAAATATTAACTCTATTAGGCAAGGATCTTGGTCTGCTTCTTCACCTCTCTGTCCTAAGCATATGAGACCAGGCTTGGCATAGACTGGGCACTTAACAGACCTGGCTGGTAAATGAAGAGCACTACTCTTGACAAGAACTAATTTAGTCCTATATCAATACCCAGGGAATCGACCTTAAGTTCCACTTAGTAATACATAGCTTTTACTCACTATAAAAACAACTTGTGATTTCCAGTATTCCCATTTTGCCAAGAATATTGATGAGGTTGGTATAAGTATACTGTGATGAAGATACAGCAAAAACAAATAGGTAGAACTACTTTTTATTCTTCACATCTCTCCATTTTTTCCTGGGTCAATCTATAACCCAAGACAAGAACAGAGGAAAGTCTTAACAGAGACATTATTGGAAAATAAGGCAGGGAGAAGTGCTCCTTACATAATATTCTGGATATACATTTGTTTAACAAAAAAACTTAATCAAAATTAATTTTAAGACAGTTAAAAATATTTTATAAGATGTTTTATGTTTTATTTTACCTTTCTGTAAGTCCAAACTTTGAATAAAATTAGAAGATAAAAATTGTTGTGCTGAACATGGTGGTACATACCTATAATCTCAGCTACATGGGAGGCAGAAGTGGGAGGATCATGCTACTGGGACAGTTTGGGTCAAAAAATTTGGGAGAGCCTCTCAGAAAACAAGTGAGGGGTGATGATACACGGCTGTATCCCCTGCTACTTGTGAGGTGGAGGTTGGACTGAGGACCAAGGACAACCCCAAGCAAAAATTGGACCTGACCTGAAAAATAAATGAAAAAAGCAAAAAGGACTGGAGGTGTGGCTCAAGTGGTAGAGCACTTGCCTAGTAAGTATAAGGCCCTGCATTCAAACTCCAGTACTGCAATTAAAAAAAAAAGTTACCTAAGGTCATGTGTTTCAGATGTTTGTATTTTGTGCCTGGAAACATGTTTTGAAACTATAGTGGCATGGTTTTGACTGGCAGATCACTGCTATGTGTTGCCATCTTAGTCAGTCCACTGCTCTGGAAAATGAATAATGCAAGAAACACAATGGATGGCATGCTGGAAGCATTTCCTCTACAAAAAGACTGGGTCTTCACAACAGTAATGTGCTTGATTTCTTCCCATTTTCTCCACAAAGTCATTAATTAAGCTTTCACTTAAAGGATCAAGAAACAACACATCATAGTATTGACTGCTTTTCAAAATCCTTCATCTATGGAAATACAAAAGGCTTTTACCCATGTTAATTAATTAGCCCTGTGAAAATTGAGATGACAACCCAACTTACTGTATTGAATAGTCCTACAGCCTAGAAGCCAGAAAAATAAGAAGAACATAATGAAGGTTATCTCAGCCCATGTGAGAGCCAAGAGGGACAGACGAGCATCATGCATCTTTGACTGTGTTGCTCTGAGGATAGCACAGCTTCATGTCTTCAGTGTTCTGTCTGGGACTTTGCAGCCGACCTCTTAGCATGAGAAAATATGTTTCAAATTCAAGGTGAAGAACACTCTTGTGAACTGGAAGAAATGACTGATGCAAGGATTAAAAGAAATAGGGTACACTGAATCAGGACAGCCCTTAATAGTGACCCATTAGGCAATGCAGAAGAAGTTTTTTTATAGGAGCTTTCCATAGAAGGTTGTTTTCTGTGACAGTTCATTGACTGGATGGATACCCTAAATCACAAACCTGTCCTACTTCCAGCTGAGAGATGGAAGTCCAGGGTGCTGACCCTAACTGATTTATCCAATCATTGGCACATTCTGCAGTTTGGTCTTTAGCAGGTACGAGTGCAGTTATCTCACTATCTCCTGACTCTATTTCAGAAAGTCTTAGCCTTAGTTACTTAATGCTCTTTCACATTTTATAAAACAACTGACCTGTAGTCTTTAAAATCTCTTGGAAACACTTCATTAAGAAATTAACACTCAGCCAGCCATGGTGGTACACACCTGTAATCCCAGCTACAAGAAGGGCATAGGTAGGAGGATCAAGGTCCCAGACCAGCCTGGGTAAAAGGATAACCTTATCTGAAAAATAACTAAAGAAAAAGGGACTGGGGGAGTGACTTAAGTTCTTACCTAGCAAGTGCAAGGTCCTGAGGTCAGACCTCAAAAGCACATACACACACACATGCACACTCCATTCACGTCACTTAATTCACAAATGAGGCCAGGCTTACAAACATGTGTACTGAACATGGGAGGACTTTTAAGTTCTGATAAAACTATGCAAGACCACAAACTCATATTGGAGAAAATTTCTATGTTTTTACAGAATATGACAACTTTTAGGTGATATGTAACTTCTTTATACATCAAAAAGCCTTGCTGGAAAGGCTCTCTGTAGTAATGTGACTACAAACATGAAGACACAATCCATACTGGAGGGAAGTGATGGCTACAGTGAATGTGGTCTTGTTTTCACTAAGGTACCCCTTCTCAGTATAAGCCAGAGAGTCCAAACATGATGTGAGAAAGCTTTCTTTATTGTCATATTAATAATACTTACAAAATTAACACTGTACTCAAAACTTAAGGATATATTCTATGATGAAGTAGAGCTGGCAAGAAAAACACTTGAAGTGTTTTGCTTTAACATGGGGCAAGAAATCTGGGAGGGTCATGAAGTCATGGGAATTTTTTCTCTCGTGGAGTAATTCAGATCATGGTATCTTGTATTTTGCTAGTAAGAATACTGATGGGAAAAATAGAGGAGGAAACTGATGAATCCAGAAGGTATAGGGAATTACTAAAAATCAGGGTCCTTGAGAATGAATAATAATGGGATCCAGTACACAAGTAAAGTGGCAAGCCTTAGTAAAATCAAGCAGTTGACAGTTGATGATGGCAGGGGAAGGCAGGACATAAGTACAAATGCAGGAAGTTGTAGGTTTGGTGGTCAGAGTTTAACAGTCTTCCATTCATACCTCTTTCTCAGTGAAATAAGAAGCAAGTCTTCTTTTGAGAGTTAAGATGGTTGAGGATGTGTTCTAAGTTAAGAAGAAAATCAGGAATGTCACTTCCAAAAATGGTGTGCAAAATGCCTAAAGAAATATGTAATCTCCAAACAACGACAAGGATCAACACACTTAAGAAAATGGTCTTTTATTGAAAGAAAGACCAGTCATATGACTGTGATTTCTTCTCTAACCACATTAGCTTCTGAATACAGATCCAGGGTAGTCGAATGCTGAATTTAATCAGTCAGTTTCTGCTAGGCCACAGGGAGAGAAAAGATAAGGACATTGACAATATAGTAATTTTAGTGATGGAGCATAAATCTAAGCTGAAAAAAGGACATGAAAACGGAAAAAAGGTGACGTAAGTTTAATTTTTTTAATTGCCATCAGTAAATTAGAAATCCAGTAAATTAAGTCCCAGAAGTGATGAAATGGGTAGGTTAGGGAAATAAAGAGTAGTGTCATATTTATAAATTTAGTTTATAAAATAGTGCCATTATTGTTAATGACTAGGGTGAAGAAAAGATTACTGGAGGCAAAAATATCAAGGAACTGAGAAGCAGGCTTACATGGATGTTGAAATGACCAAGAATGAGCCTTGTGCAGGATCATACGCATGTAATCCCATCTCCTGGGAGACTGAGGCAATTGCATAGTGAGACATTGTCTCAAATACAAAAGGACAGAAAAGAGAGAGGGAGGGAGGGAGAAAAAAAGAAAGGAGGAAGGGAGAGAGGAAGGAAAGGTTGTAGGAATGAATGAGATGTTCTGAACACGTGTTGGGGCAGGAAGGGCCACAGGAGGAAGTGGTATGGTCTCACAGCATATGTGCTGCAAAGAGCTCAGGTTTAATGGTTTGAAAGATGGTTATAAAAACCACAAACATACTGAGCACCTCTTGGCCCCATAGGTTGTAGGATATGAGGGAAACAGACCAGCTCCGATTTGACAGTGTAGAGGAAGTCTCTATCCTGGAAAATCAGATATTAATTAAGAGTAAAAAGGGGAAGTGAATGTTTGCCTCCACTCCTTCATATAATTATCTCACATTTTCTTCTTCTTTCTCAAAACTCAAAAATTCACTCCAGGAGGGGGAAGTGGCCAAAACAATGTAACACATGTAAGTAAATATTTAAAAAATGATAAAATAACATCTAAAATGAAAACAGAGAGGTTTTAGTGAAAAAAAGTTGACTCCACCTTTCTCACAGCAGATGCCCCTCAACACATCTTGTTACTCTGAGAAATAGACACAGTCAGAAAGGAACTTCCAGTGTCCTGAGCTGGAGTAACATGGTGAAGGAATGAAAATGAAGACAACACCCAGGAATTTCTGATGGCATGCTTTGTTTTCCACAGAGTACACTGAAGTTGGGGAAAGTGTTGAAATTAATCAGATTACATGTTCAGAGCCTTCATGGGTTAAAGGTCAATAATGAAGAATGTTCTAGAAGATTGTCCTTTATGAAGACCAGGGATGTAAAACATGACCGGACTCGTCCCGATGTTCTCTGAGAGGAAGGAGAACACCCCAGGCCATCATAGAGGAGAATTATGTCTGTGTGACTAGCACAGAGACAGTGGGAGTCTTTGTTGTGTCTGTGTGGCTGGCATGGGGACAGTGGCAGTCTTGCCACCAACTTTATGGCCTTTACTTCAACTTTGTTCTGGGTGAGAGTCAGGCATTTTCTAAAATAATGTTGAATGGTTTTGATGACACCATGCACCTTCCTTAGAGTTACTTCCTAATGAAATCTTATTATCATCAGGAAAGATAACACAGTCCACCATTACACAAGTACTATTTGATAATTTTTTCCAATGGTATATTATAAAAGTTGTACCATGTTAATTTCATTATAGATAGTCCTCAGATTTCCATTCTCCAATGTTGTTATCACCTTATTAAAATTCAAAGGTCGTATGAATGAAAGAACACTGTTTCATATCTGAGATTTTCAAGTTCAACATGCAGCTGCATAGACCATAAGGACTCCCATTGAAATGTTCTCCAGCAGTTCTAATGCAGATGGCAGAGAGTCAACACTTTGTTACAGACCCATAAACACACCACAGGTTCATGAAAGAGAATGATACAGAGTTAATCTGTAGAATCAGTCAGCATGGGCTCCTCAAGCAGGAGGCAGGGGAAAGCCTCGGCATAAAAACAATGTTCTTACAGTCTAGTGGGCATCCAGCTAGAACTTCCTATTCTATATAAAGGCTTCAGGCTTTCCTTTCTTGGATTGGATGAAGTTCATTATAAATCTTTTTGTTTCCAGTCCTACTAAGTTTAATGGAGCAGAGAAGTAGATGTAAAATTCAGTGGGCATGTGTGTAGACTCCACAAGAGTTGTTTCATTTTGTTGTAGAAAATAGAGATTAGAGAAACCCTGGTCTGAAGGAGCATTACAAAAGCTGTGAGCATCTTTGCTGATGTCTTTACAGACCTGTGTATTCTGCTGAAGTCCCAGCCTGCTCAGTCTACTAGAGACTTACAAATGGGGCAGTGCTCAGTGACTCCTTCCTCTTTTCTCGGGTGACTCAATTCTGTGTCCTCACTTTCTCCACCTATAGGGTCAGTAAATGGTTCCAATCATCAAACTCTTAATAAAGCAATGCTAACCAGAAAACTCCAGAAGGAAACAGTTTGCTTCTGCACATTGGTTTAGGCCCCATCTTGTATATGCTGATTTATCAGAATACTATCAAATTCTTATTGAGAAGAGCACAATTTGGAAGACATTTAAAAATAAGTCTGTTGAAATGTTGCTTTTTTTTCTTGCCATTCTACCATTGAAAGTTTGGCCATTTATTTTCCAAGACACCAGTCTTGAGATTTGGGATACATTCACAGTAACCAATTAAGGCATGCCGATTTCCAAGTACACTCAGGATCTTGAGGATGATTCACCTTCTGGCATATCTTCAAACTGACTACTAAGTGGTTGCTAATATGTTTCAGAAGTATTTAGTTCTTGAAGACAAGGGTGAATTTCAGTTCCAGGGCTGCCTATCTTCCAACCCTGGATATGGAATTGAGACCATTACAAAACAGACATCTATGCATAGCCATTGGAAAGTGTATTAAACATGATTTTTAAAATACACTGATGTACCTTATAGTAAAATTAAAGACAAATTTTCAAATAAGATTTAAAGAATTAAATTCTTAATCCTCACTCCCAAATTTATTTGTCTTCCTTTTTTTCACTTCTTATTTCAGTAATGACTCCACAAGCCTCCAAGTTGCAGGAGTCCCATATGGGTATCCAGCACCTTTACCTCTTCTTTCACTCTCTCATTCTGTTTCCTACATACCCACTTATCACCTAAGCTCTTAGCTGCTCAGGGCTCTTACGAATGTTTTCACTTTGCTGTCATGAGTCTCTTATGATCCCTCCATACTGCTGAGATAGCCATCTTCCCAGAGCATATTCACAAACACATTCAAAAAATTTTCTGATAAATTCATATTACACAGTCCATACATGTCACTCAAAACCCACCACAAGGATTAACTGGTCTCTTCAATGACTTCTCCCATTTCTCTCTTCCATGTAATTTCTGCTTAAACAAAGGAATTCTCCTGTGTCTGTGCTTTGGGCCAAACTTGAATTGTTCCCCAGCTTCTTCTCTCTCTGCCCCTTTATCATCACCCTTCCAAGAGACTGTCTCTAAGCCACCAATTCTGAATAATCTGATCCATGGCTGCCACCTTTAAGAGCACTTACCCTTTCATACATATGTGTTCTGAACCTTAAAAAATAAGATGTTTTGCAGGCAAAATTTATCTATCCTCCTGAAGTAGTTAGCTCAGTGGTTTAACATAGTAGACACTCAGATGTTTGCTTAATACCTGATGCTATTCTCCTTTTCTTTTTCAGTGGCACCGCCCCCCTACAGTTATGACCATGAGAGGGAATACCGTGCAGACTTGCCTCCTCCATACTCCCCGGCCCCACAGGCCTCAGCACAGCGTTCTCCACCCCCTCCTTATCCTGGAAATTCAAGGAAGTAATCCTTCTCCCAGAACAGAGTTATGTGTCAATCAGTGATCTTGCCTGACACAAAACAGCTCACAGACAGGAAAGGATTGCCCTAAGGAATACATGCTGGGATCAGGTCATATTTCAGGTCGAATGCCCATATTAAGAAAATACAAGGCTCCTATCTTGCTCAGAGCTGACCCTATGAGGGGTTTTGTGCCTGGTTGTATGGAACCACATTTTAAGAGATCTGTTGCAGAGAAGAGTGATGAAATTGACAGAACATCTGATAATCATGTTGTTTTAAGGACTAGCTGAAGGAAACTTCAATATTGATCTTGGAAAAGAGAAGAGTAAAGTAGGATGGGAGATTATATGCAGTTTTTAAAAAGTCAGAACTATAGGGCTTGGCATGGCTTAAGTGGTAGAGTGTCTGCCTAGCAAGAGTGAAGCCCTGAGTTCAAATTCCAGTACCAGAAAAATGTCAGAACTAGAATTGATCATTATTTCATTCATCGATAAGTATATATTGAGTGCCTGAGAGCCTACTGTGTTGTGTGCCTGATACTTTTGAGGCACTGGGTGGAAGTTGCCAGAGGGAATCATCTCATTTTATTGCACTTTGCTACACTGCACTTTGCAGATAGTACATTTTTTTACAAATTCAAGGTTTGTAGCAACCTGCATAAAACAAGTCTACTAGTGCCATTTTTCCAACAGCATATGCTTATTCATGTATTTGTGTTATGCTTGGTAATTCTCAAAATATTTCATACTTTTTGATTATTATTATATCTGTTATGGTGATCTTTTATCAGTAATTTTTTGATGTTATTATAATAGCTGTTTTGAGATTCTATGAATCATGCCCACGTAAGACAATGAGCTTAATGGATTGATAAACATTGCATATATTCTGACTGCTTTACTGACTGTATGCCATCATTTCTTAAAATAATGATATTAAAATTAGGCCAATTAACAACTCTACAGTGGCCTCTAAGTATTCAAATGAAAGGAGGCTCCTTGTTACCAGACTTCAAAAAGAACTAAACAGAACACATCTCTCACTTTAAATCAAAAGCTAGAAATGATTCATCTTAATGAGGAAGACATGTCAAAAACTAGATAGACAGAAAGCTAGTTTCCTTACATCAAACAGTAAGCCAAGTTGTGAATGTAATGGAAAAGATCTTGAAGGCAATTGAAAGTGTCTCTCCTGTGAAAACAAGAATAAGAAAGAGAAACAGCCTCATTGTTTATATGGAGAAAGTTTTAGTGGTCTGGATGCAAGATCAAACCAGCCATATTCCCTTAAGCCAAAGCCTAATTCAGAACATGACTTTTACTTACCCTCTTTAACTCTGTGAAGGCTGAGAGAGGTAAGGACACTGCAGGAGAAAAGTGTGATGGTAGCAGAGGTTGGTCCATGAGGTTTAAGGAAAGAATCCATCTCCATCACATAGAAGTGCAAAGTGAAGCCTCAAGTTCTCTAGAGTATCTAGTTAAGATCATTGATGAAGGTGGCTATGCTAAACAACAGATTGTCAGCATGGATAAAAACACCACTACACCAGAAGATGATGCCTGTAGGACTTTCACAGCTAGAGAGAAGTCTTCTGGTTTCAAATCTTCAGAAGATGGGCTGGCTCTTTTTTTAGGAGCTAATAATACATATGGTGACTTTAACTTGAAATCAATGCTCAATGCTTATTTATCATTTAAGATTCCTAATGCCCCTAAGAATTACACTAAATCTACTCTAGCTGTACTCTACAAATGGAACAACAAAGCCTGTTAGCAATATGATTTATTTAATAATGTAATACCACTGTTGAGACCTACTGCTCAGGAAACCTCTTCACTCGAGAGCTCTGTTGTTGATGTACAATGAAACCAAAGTTTCTTCCATGCGTGCTAACACAAACTCCCTTTTGCAGCCCATGGATCAAGAGTAACTTTGACTTTCAACACTTACTCTTTAAGAAATACATTTCATGAGGCCATAGCTGTCATAGAAATTGATTCCTCTGATGGATCTGGGCAACGTAAACTAAACCCTCTTGGAAAGGACTCACCGTCCTAGATGGTATTAGGATCATTCATGATTCATGAGAGGAGCTCAAGCTATCAAAATAACATGAGTTTGCAAGAAGATAATCCCTACCCTCATGTATGGTTTTGATGGGTTCAAGTCTTCAATGGAGGAATTAACTGCAGATATGGAAATGGCAAAAAGAAGTAGAGTTAGAAATGATGCTTAAAGATATGGCTGACGTTTTGCAATATCATGGTAAATCAGAGAATAAGGAGTTGCTTCTTATGACTGAGCAAAGAAAACAGTTTCTTGGGGTGGAATCTACTTCTAATGAAGATGTAAACATTGTTCAAATAACAACAAAGGACTTAGAATATTACATAAACTGAGTTGATAAAACAGAAGCAGGGTTTTGAAAGGATCGACTGCAATTTTTTAAAAAGTTCTGCTGTGGATAAAAATCTCTTGAACAGCATCATATGCTACAGAGAAATCTTTCATGAATAACAGAGTCTATGTGGCAAACTTCATTGCTTTCTTATTTTAAGAAATTGTCATGGCCTCCCCAACCTTCCACAGTCAGCACCCTTATCAGCCAGCAGCCATTAACACCGAGTTAATACTCTCCACCAGCAAAATGATTACAACCTGCTGAAAGCTCAGGTGCCAATTAGTATTTTTCACAAAAAAAAATTTTAATTAAGCTATATACATGGTTTTATAGACATAATGCTATTGCATACCTAACAGACTACAGTATAATGAAAACATAACTTTAATATGCACTGGGAAACCAGAAAAATCATGTGACTAACTTTATTGTGGCATTTGCTTTATTGTGATGGTCTAGAAATGAATCCAATATCTTCAAAGTATTCCTGTATAGCAAAAAAAAAAAAGAGCAACTAGAGCTTTCTTATTGACTCTATATATTACTTTGTGAAGATCTCTGCTATCGAGAGTTCAAATAGAACCTGGTTGAATATCTACTAAAGAAATGTTCTAAAAGTGATATCTAAAATTAATGTTAGATGGACTTATTCGTCTCCAAATGTCTGCTCATGTTTTAGGTAGATGTGAAGTAAAAAAAATCACAATTGAATCTTATTTATTTAATTTAATAATTATAACACAATCAAGGGGACTCAATGGGCACTATAAGCAAATAATAATTCTTCAATGCTAACAACTGCCTCCTAAAAATCATCTGGCTTTAGTCAGTGGATTTTGACAGTTTTTTGCAACTGTAGAATGAGGGGAATTACATCATTTCACATACAGCAAATACTTCACTTTTGAGCAAAAGATAAGAAACCAAATACTCCCACAGATCTTATACTAGGTAGAAAAATTCTCAGAACTTGACCATGAAGATGTAAAATGGACTTACCAAAAAAGTTAAAAATAAAATTTGGATTCTCTTCTGTGGAATTCCATTCAGATATAAATGAGACAAATGTTTATTCATCTTTTATAAAATTTTACTAATTTCTTAGAAAGTTATACAGTTAATGAAAAATGATGTTATTGACATCATTTTTGTCTCTTACCAAATGCAAATTTTATGAAGTGCTTACCTTTAAATGTAAAAGCATTTAATAAATAATTCAAAAGTGCCATAGTTTGCTGCAAATGATCTTAACATGTGTGTTTTTATGTGGGTTCTTTCTTTTGTTTAAAAATTGTATACTGAACATTGAGGATAGATTATCAGACTTTTGTGCCACTTTATAATCAAGCTTAAATGTTTGATCCAAGGTCATTGTCATAATTCAGTGAAATCATAAAACAATGCTAAGAATTTTCCTGAATAAAACAAAACATCCTAAGTTAAAATTGTCACATCCATTCTTCTAGTTAACAAACTTAATAGGTAGTATAAGTAGTATCTTTTTCTTTCAAATACCTCTACTAGAAGCACTTTAATAGTCTAACTGCCATGAGGTCCAAAGGCTAAATTTGTTTTGAATGACTTTCTTCGTGTTTTGGCATTGATGATCTTCTTACATAAGAAGATGCAAATATGCACAAGCTCCAGGCTGTTTCATGGAGAAGCTCCCTGACTTACATAAAGTACTTAGCACAATGTTATCAGTACATCATACTTACATTTTTTTTGCAAATGTGATCAGTCCAAATTATACTGCAGTTATGACACTCAAAGTGCCAAGGTCTCTGTGATGTTGAGAATGTTGGTTGCAAATATAACACATATTCCTTAAGAAAAATGGACTGGGAAGGGCATTGAAAAATCGAATTCTTTTCATCTTCATCAACAATAAATGTTTATTGTGTGCCTTCTATTTCTGTAAACAGTACCCACCCAGGAATCATTTCAGTCCCTCTCTCTGATTTGTTTATGGCCTCCCATGAAGCATACCACAAACCCATATACTTACAATAGATGAGTGTTATATAGATGACACTAAATACAAATAGTATTTAGTGTCACAATAGCATAAATGTGTACATTATAGACACTTGAAGTTCACTGATTGTTTTCATAAATGATGTGTCTTGGGGGAAAATAATGTATGTTGTAAAAGTTTAGAATATGGCTTTTTACTAATACAATTGCTGATAATAAGCAATAAAATTATTTACAAATTATAAAAAGGTAACATTTGTCATTGTCTTCTGTCCATATTTTTCCACACCTCATTCCTGATTTACTCTCTTTCCTCAGAAAACACAGCTTTGAAGCCAGACTAACTTCATTTTGAGTCCTATCTCCTGCCTATGTGATTTGAAGCAGGGCGTTTCATCTTTCTAAGATCCAACTTTCCACTCTGGCAAATGTAAATAACATAATGGGCCTCACCAGGTTCTGTGAAAATTGGATGAATATATGGGAAATTCTAAGTATGTTGCTTGACATTGGAAAGGGTTCTGTAAATATGAGCCAAAAATAAATTAACAAAAGATCACTCTAATGAGAAGAGCCTCTATAACTTTGCTATCCAACACAGTAATCACTGCTGTGTATGATCATTTAAATTTAAATGAAATTAAATTAAGTGAAAATTTAGGTTCTCCGGTTTCACTAGCCCCATTTCAAGTGATGCCTGGCCTTGTGTGACTGGTGACAGCCATACTGTGTAGTACTAACTTAGTAAAATCTTCTATGCAAAATGTGAGCTAGCAGAAGACAGTGAAGAAGAAAGCACTCCATTTATCTCCTCTTAGGGTCTATGGACTTTGCCAGGTAACTGTGAGTAAGGCATTGCTTATGGAAGTATTCTGTACCCTGCATGAAAACCCAGGAGCAATAAGAAGCCCACCTCACCCCTCCCCAGGGCTGGGGTTAGGAAGCTTCTGCAGACACCCAAGGACTGATGATAGAAGAAAGACCTTGGATTCTGTGTTGGAGCTGATCTGACAGCCTCAGTCTTCAAGGGTCAAATCAATTTTTCATGTCCCAACTTAGCTCTAGAAGCCACCATGGGCACATCCAGAGCTCTTTAAGGGGTAGTGCTACAAAGTTCCCTTCCTTTTTTTCATAACTTGTTTTCACCACCAAACAAAAGTAGCACTCACTAGATATCCAGTGCACTCCCAACTTGACCTTGTTTGGCCAAGCCCATTTTGCCAACACCTGGTTGTAGGTGAGGTAGGTTCTAGCACACACCAAACAATAGAATGGAGCTGTGGTCGTTGTGTTGTTTTATTTTTTAGTTTCATTAAAACAACCTAACACCAGAATATAAGGTCACATGCTTCCCTTGCTGATCACCACAGAGATTTCTTTTTTTTACTTTTATTATTCATATGTGCATACAAGGCTTGGGTCATTTCTTCCCCCTGCCCTCACCCCCTCCCTTACCACCCACTCCGCCCCCTCCCTCTCCCCCCACCCCCTCAATACCCAGCAGAAACTATTTTGCCCTTATCTCTAATTTTGTTGTAGAGAGAGTATAAGCAATAATAGGAAGGAACAAGGGTTTTTGCTGGTTGAGATAAGGATAGCTATACAGGGCATTGACTCACATTGATTTCCTGTGTGTGTGTGTTACCTTCTAGGTTAATTCTTTTTGATCTAACCTTTTCTCTAGTTCCTGGTCCCCTTTTCCTATTGGCCTCAGTTGCTTTTAAGGTATCTGCTTTAGTTTCTCTGCATTAAGGGCAACAAATGCTAGCTAATTTTTTAGGTGTCTTACCTATCCTCACCCCTCCCTTGTGTGCTCTCACTTTTATCATGTGCTCAAAGTCCAATCCCATTGTTGTGTTTGCCCTTGATCTAATGTCCACATATGAGGGAGAACATATGATTTTTGGTCTTTTGGGCCAGGCTAACCTCACTCAGAATGATGTTCTCCAATTCCATCCATTTACCAGCGAATGATAACATTTCGGTCTTCTTCGTGGCTGCATAAAATTCCATTGTGTATAGATACCACATTTTCTTAATCCATTCGTCAGTGGTGGGGCATCTTGGCTGTTTCCATAACTTGGCTATTGTGAATAGTGCTGCAACAAACATGGGTGTGCAGGTGCCTCTGGAGTAACCTGTGTCATAGTCTTTTGTGTATATCCCAAGAGTGGTATTGCTGGATCAAATGGTAGATCAATGTCTAGCTTTTTAAGTAACCTCCAAATTTTTTTCCAGAGTGGTTGTACTAGTTTACATTCCCACCAACAGTGTAAGAGGGTTCCTTTTACCCTGCATCCTCGCCAACACCTATTGTTGGTGGTGTTGCTGATGATGGCTATTCTAACAGGGGTGAGGTAGAATCTTAACGTGGTTTTAATTTGCATTTCCTTTATTGCTAGAGATGGTGAGCATTTTTTCATGTGTTTTTTGGCCATTTGAATTTCTTCTTTTGAGAAAGTTCTGTTTAGTTCACTTGCCCATTTCTTTATTGGTTCATTAGTTTTGGGAGGATTTAGTTTTTTAAGTTCCCTATATATTCTGGTTATCAGTCCTTTGTCTGATGTGTAGCTGGCAAATATTTTCTCCCACTCTGTGGGTATTCTCTTCAGTTTAGAGACCATTTCTTTTTTTTTTTTTTCATTTTTCTTTTATTATTCATATGTGCATACAAGGCTTGGTTCATTTCTCCCCCCTGCCCCCACCCCCTCCCTTACCACCCACTCCACCCCCTCCCACTCCCCCCCCCAATTCCCAGCAGAAACTATCTTGCCCTTATCTCTAATTTTGTTGTAGAGAGAGTATAAGCAATAATAGGAAGGAACAAGGGGTTTTGCTGGTTGAGATAAGGATAGCTATACTGAAGAAGAACGAAATGTTATCATTCGCTGGTAAATGGATGGAATTGGAGAACATCATTCTGAGTGAGGTTAGCCTGGCCCAAAAGACCAAAAATCGTATGTTCTCCCTCATATGTGGACATTAGATCAAGGGCAAACACAACAAGGGGATTGGACTATGAGCACATGATAAAAGCGAGAGCACACAAGGGAGGGGTGAGGATAGGTAAGACACCTAAAAAACTAGCTAGCATTTGTTGCCCTTAATGCAGAGAAACTAAAGCAGATACCTTAAAAGCAACTGAGGCCAATAGGAAAAGGGGACCAGGTACTAGAGAAAAGGTTAGATCAAAAAGAATTAACCTAGAAGGTAACACACACTCACAGGAAATCAATGTGAGACCATTTCTTTTGATGAACAGAAGCTTTTTCGCTTTATGAGGTCCCATTTATCTATACTATCTCTTAGTTGCTGTGCTGCTGGGGTTTCATTGAGAAAGTTCTTTCCTATACCTACTAACTCCAGAGTATTTCCTACTCTTTCCTGTATCAACTTTAGAGTTTCACCACAGAGATTTCTAAGAACTACTACTAGAGCTCAGACAGAATCTGTCCCCATTGGAGTGTACAATATTTATTGTTTGACTATAGGCCTATGCTGCAAGGAGTAAGGCTGAGCTCATAGGTAAGT